TTATTTTTGCAGGTCTGTTACAAGTCATCTACAAAGAATAAAAAGTAGACGAGCTGACATTCCAAATCCAGAAATACCAGTTAGAATACACTTATCCTTGGAAAAAGTACCAGATTTGATAAAAGGTTAAATTAATAATAATAGGTGCTTAATTATATATCATTACATATAGGTAGTTTGTGGTATTGCTATAAACCAACCTTATGTCATCTTCTTAATTATAGTACTCTGATAAGTATTTCATTTATACAAAATTAAATACTTTTTTTTTTTTCTAATTTTAGTGGTGTCATCTATTGGAGCAATAGTAGTGGATGGTAGAGTATATCCTTCAATATCACCACTGGGTGGAATAAGTACTCCATCTATGCCATATAATGAATCTCAGACAGATCAAAAACAAGCAACTACTCTGTCAAATGCACATATGGATGGTTCTTCCATAACTGCACAATTACCTGCTGCAACACAACAATCTAATAATATGCAACAAAATTCCTATCAACAAGTGCCTCTTCATATAGCAACTCAACAACAACAGCAACAACAACAACAAGCACAATCGCAAAATTATATGCAACATTATCCTATGAATAATATGCCACCTCGGTCGTCACCACAAGCGCATCAACCACGTGTACCATATGCAGTTAATTTCAACAACAGACTGCAACAACCTCTAATGATGCAACAACGCCCTTTGGGGAGCTGTCATCAACAAGTAACATCGTCCACGCATCCTCATCAACAAGTTCACATAGATCAACTTGGGCAAAACACAAGTTTGCGTGGACTTCTTGCACATAATCCACCTCCTTTTCGACCTACTACAAATCATATATCATACCGATTGCCACCTTATAGATATCCTTCAAATAATTCTCAACGACCAGTACCTCCACATACGTATCAACCAACAAATACGTCCATGGTATCTGGTATAAGGCTTCAGCAATGTAATCCAACATCTCCATCCACGCAACACATAAATTATCCCATGCAACAACCAACTACGGCTCGTTGGCATATACCACAAAATGTTAATCCTTGTCTTCCTTTTTATACTTCCCGTCATCAATCAAGTACACCTTCCATACCAGTTCCTACTAATGATACTTATAAAATAACATTAAAAAATCAACAATCAAATACAAATCAAAAATATAATACACAGACAACTGTTGCCTCTGATAATCCACCTCAATCACAAAATTCAGTATCTGTTGGTCATACAGTTAGTTCTTCAGTACCAAAAACACCTAGTCCAGTACCTCCTGGAAAATCAGATGAAACTGAAAAGAGTTTGGACAAATTTTGCCAAAAATCTTTAAATGATTTAATGCTTACTATTGCAAAATTGGATAGTAATGGAATTGTAGTAATACCAGAAGCTCAACGAAATCAATTAGATTCTGCCCAAGTAGATAGCTCAACTGATGAAGGGATGAATCCAATGACTGAAAATTCATCAGGTATTGAGATATTTTAAATAAAATATTTAGTTTTTCGTAACATTTATCTAAAATATAAAAAAAAAAGAATATATAAGATACATAACAATAAATGCATGTGCAACATTATATGTTCAATAGATAATTCAAAAAATACTGCAGCATCCATGACGAAGGACGATCCTAATGAAGACTGGTGTGCAGTGTGCATGGATGGAGGAGATGCAGTACTATGTTGTGATAAATGCCCAAAAGTCTTCCACTTGTACTGTCATATTCCTAGTTTAAAATCATTTCCTGAGTAAGTGTACAAATAGTATAGTTTAATGAAGTTTGTTATTTAATTATTAATATTACATATTTTTGTGCATCAGTGAAAGTGAAACTTGGCAGTGCATGTTATGTACAAATGTACTAGATTGTTCGGATGATCCACCAGGAGAAAGAAGGCCAAACACAATGAGTGCAAAAGAGTTGCGAATTGCGCAAAGAATTGTGTTAGAACTTTATTGTCAATATGAACAAAGCTTACCTTTTCGTGAAGTTGTATCTAGTGAGGTAAACCTATTCTACATAAGTTTATGTATATAAAAAATGTAAGGAACATAAAAATAAATTATTATTTTGTTTATTATTAACAGATAGTTGACTATCATCGCATCATAAAGAAACCAATTGCACTAGATGTAATTAGAGATAAATTAAAACTTGAACATCCGAATCATTACACAGATTTAAGACAAGTAATGGCAGACATTAGATTGATGTTCAAAAATGCTTTCACATACAATCCTGTAAGTTGTGCTTGAAGTTCATAAAATTGTAAATTATAACATATAATTTTTATTACAACATACATACGTTTTATCATTTTTAATGTATATTTTATTTCATTTAGGTTGAATCGCAAGTATATCAAGAAGCACGAAATTTAGAAGAATTTTTTGAAAAATTATTATTGAAATGGGCACCAAATTATGCCTATGATGATCCTTTCCTGTCAGCTGATAAAGATGAGGATGAAGAAGTGTTCCCTCCTAATAGAAAATATCGACGTATAGTTACTGACTAATTTTCACTTTTCATAATTAAGCACTTAAAGAAGTATGTTATTTTTAAAACACATAGCAGAATTATATTTCAAAGTAATCAACATTTCTTAGTTATATTTAATAATGCTTTTCATGTTTAATTAATTGATAAAGTATGTTATAAATGTTTAAAGATACTAACAAAGCAATTGAAGACATTTACAATTGTAGTATAGATTTCCTCAGATCTGTTGTTTAATTAGATAAATCGTGCTTAATACAGCGAATTTATTGTATGAATTTATAAATTAAAAGTGAGTACATCATATCTCACAACTTTTGCTTATATTATATAAAAATATTTGGCTGCTTGCTGTCATTTATGAATTCATTATAAAATCAGTTGATAAAATATTTATCACTGAGTTACACCGTTAAATGTGTTATGAAGGAATAATTATATTCATTTTACAATGAAGTGTTTCGGTAAATATACAAGTATATTTTTTATAAAGTATTACAACTTTAATACATATATATGTATGTATGTATGCATGCATGCATGTATGAATATATGTACACACACACACACACACACACACACCGCACACGACACGCACACATTATCGTTTTAATAAAATTCTATGGTAAAAATGTCGTATTTCTTGTTGATAAAAAGTGACAGTTAACTATATTACAATAAACATTAAAAATTTTATAAACTGATATCATTTTTAAAGTACCTTATTTTAAAAAACTTATTCAGCTTTTTAACAACATTGTGAC